TGTAAGAGAACTTGAGCCAGACCAAATGTAGTATTCTTTGTTTTTGTTTTCATTTTAATGCAACAATCTTTATAATGATAAATTATTAAACAAAATAAAACTTTGTTTAGACAAGAAGTAGAAATGAGGCAGAGCATTTATATTGTATCCTCCTTGGAGGTTTACATTTTTTATCTGTAAGCATTTTTTGTGCCCATTGTGCAGTTTGCCTGATTTATCATCTGAGATCAGCTTCCACTAAGTACTTAAATGAGATTTTAAAACATAAAGTAAAAGCTTTTACCACCATTTTTAGTTTTAAGTAGAACTTACAAAAGGATGTTATCTCCTGTCTGGATTGCTGCGGTCTCACCAACAACCGTAGCAGCCTCAATGTAACGGGGTTCAGCACAAATTTGCCCGGGGTATTCTGTCTGCAGGTCACTCAGAGTCTCCCAGTCGCCTGTTCCACTGGGATTGTCTCGATTGTACCACTTAGTCCAGCACACTGGAATAGCAAAGCACAAATGTAAAATGTTGTGTTAAAGCAAATTTTCAGATAAGTGCTTCTGGACACAAAGAATCCATTATGTAAATATTATTTCATTAGCAATCGTAAATGCTTGATTTTAAATGTAGAGCTACTTTTACCATTTTCACAGGCAGCAGGGGAGCAGCTGAAGCGAATTTTGTAATCATTGCACCATTTGTCAGGTTGATCCCCGTTTCTGCAGATGAATCCTGAAGTTGTGTCATATCTGAAAAACAAAAAAAGAGAGAGAGAATAAAGGAAATAAATGCTTCATTTGTTATCACCTCTTCAGTCTAGCTTCGTATAACATTATGGCAACAAAATACTAAACTATGCTCATCTTCATTAAGTTTGTACTGAAAAGGCAATTTTTCACTTCACTTTTTAATTGTAGCTTCCCTTGGTCATTTCTTTCACAGATAGAGGATTTAACTTTTTTTTTTTTTTTTTTTTGCAGTTGGCATTTTAACTGTTTATATTTCATGTTTTCTATTTAGTTTTTTAATTTATTGAAATGTAATGGGAAATTGTTTATCTTCTGGTTTGTAATTTAGAATTTTATAGCACAATACTTTGATCACCTTGGATTGTTTAAATGTGCTTGTAAATGCTCTCACTGGAGCGGTTTGCAGCCGAGTGTGAAGCGGCTGGGATGAGAATCAGCACCTCCAAATCTGAGGCCATGGTCCTCAGTTGGAGCAAGGTGGATTGTTCTCTTCAGGTCGAGGGTGAGGTTCTGCCTCAAGTGGAGGAGTTCAAGTATCTCAGGGTTTTGTTCATGAGTGAGGGAAGACTGGAGCGTGATACTGACAAACAGATTGGTGCAGCATCTGCAGTATTGTGGACTCTGTACCGGTCCGTTGTTGTGAAGAGAGAGCTGAGCTGTAAGGCAAAGCTCTCTGTTTACTGGTTGGTCTACATTCCTACCCTCACCTATGGTCATGAGCTCTGGGTAGTGACTGAAAGAATGAGATCGTGGATACAGGCGGTTCAAATGAGTTTCCTCTGCAGGGTAGCTGGACTCTCCTTTAGAGACGGGGTGAGAAGTTTAGTTATCCAACTTACCTGCAACTTACCTAAAAATGTTTTCGCCGGCTTGAGCCACACTCTGGCCAGATAAAGTTTGCGCCTCAATATCTCTAGGGATGTTGCAGATTTTCCCAAGATTCTCATTATGAAGATCAGCGAGGGTCTCCGAGTCTCCAGTACCAGAAGGGTCATCCCCGTCAAACCACTGAGTCCAGGCCTCTAAAACATTCAAATTAAGGTAAATCAGTAAACAAGAAACTAGAAAAGTTTAAACATTTCTTTTTAATTTGATACATTTTGTTTATAGTTTGACCAAGCAAAAAAAAAAAAAAAAAAAAAAAGTGATGTAAGGCACATTAAACTACTCCAAAATATATGTTACTTACGAACATAGGCAGGATTTGCGCAGGGTAACGCTAAGTGGAAAATAAAAAGCAAAACATTTAAAACTCAAACACAAAAAAGTACAGGCTCACTTTTTTCTTTGTATTGTCCTGACAGTTTAGTCAGCCAAATTAATGAACTTTTAGACAAACCAGAAGCCGAAATAATAAATATAAAACAAAAATCAGAATGGTGTCTTACCTCCTTCTCTTAGGTTTGCAGAAGCTGGTAAATGAAATCAAAATATTGCTAGTTAGTTATTTCTGTGGCAATAACGTACCGTTTGAGTTTTAAAAAGTAGTTTTGCACTGAACTTGCTGAGGCGAACATACCAAGCAGGAAAAATGTAGCAAGGGCAAAACACAGCTGTGATAGAAAACCAAATGTTGAAATATATGGTACATAATATAATACTCAAAATTCTACTTGTTTTCACATATTGGATATACAAAGCCACATACTTTACCTGTTTGATCATGATTGCAGAAACTGGATATCTGTTCTTTACTGCTGCAAACAAATACAAAATGAAGCAATATCTGATGTTTCTTTTCTTCATTTCACACAATAAATCTTTATGTGAGTTCTGTTGGGATACTTTTAAAATGATTTTATTCTGTTTAGTAAGTTTAGAGACAAACTTACCTGTGAAAACCAGAAGGGATTCAGTGAGAGGATCTCTTCATTCAGTGACTTCTGGCTTTGTGAACCTTTTATAGTCACAAATCCCACCCTGTAACTGTATCAGATGTTTTGTGATAAAATACTTTTTGTTTGTGAAGGTAAGAAATTTGAATCTGGATGAACCAGAACACACCTTCCAGCAAGCACATGTTGTTCTCTTCCACAAAATTGTGTCACGCAACTGGTTACATGGGTATACAGGTACCATTATAGAGAAAGCTGCCCATGTTCAACATGTCTTTTCTGTCTCCCAATTAGTTGATGCAGGAAAACAGTACAACTATGGGAACACATTAAAGAGTACAGAGAACAAACAGGAATTTGTGAACTTGTGCCAGCAGAAGCTGCTACAAAGCATTTTCTAACCTCTCATGACATGTAGCCTCGGCTCATAGCTTTCAGTAATGGTTCCATATGTGTGCAAATTTTGAGCCACCAATTATTTGTTATATCTATCAAGAAAACCTCAGTTTTAGTCTTTTTACTTAGCCCTTTGCCCTTCACATCCAAACCCCAATAGGCCAGAGATTAAAATATTCTTTATGTCACTCCAAAGCCCAAGTTAACTGTAAAAAAAGTCCATGCTCTATAATCCAGGTATGTAATCCATTAATTTTCAGTCAGGTCATCTGGACAGTTTCTTTTTTGCTGAAACGTTTCACCTTCCATCCGGAAGGCTTCATCAGTCAAGGAAACACACAACACAAAACTGATTCTTCCCCCAAACAGTTTACTCCAAAGTGGAACAAACCAGTTATGTTGGTGCTAAGATGGTGTCTTTGGCACGCCCCCTTCTCTGGAACCGGCCCTCTTCCTCGTCAACAGTCATGCCGAACTGGTTCAAAACCAAAACAGTCCATGTTCAATAATCCAGGTATACAATCTAACAATTTTCAGTCAGGTCATCTGGACCAAGTTAACAGTATTTAGCTTAGGGAAATTAAGCAACTTTGTGCTGTTGAAGAAAGAACTGGATGGTGTTTTCTGTCTGCACAGAATGTGATTAACTGTCGTAAGACTGAAAATGTCAGATTTTTTTTTAAGATCACTTGAAAAATTTAAATGCAAATCAATGTGTTGATCAATATAGCCCCTTCTTTTTTTCCTATTCCTAAAAACAATGCTATTTGGACTTTCAGACACCTTTTTGCTTCAACCTTCTGACTCCACGATTGGTTCATCACACGCTGTAATTTACGAAAAAAAAAAAAATCTAATGGCTCATTAGAATTCTCATTATAATGCCATTGTTGACCTCATTACTGAAGAGCATTAGAGTGCAAAAGACAAGCAGGGCTTTCAATCAAAACATGCTTGCTGCTTCCCAAACTGTAGATGAAAAGGTGGGGAACGCAACTGCACGGTCTCTCATGAGAATCTTTTGACTCTTTTGATCTCTCATGATTTTGCAAAGTAAATGTGCACATAATGCAAAGGATACAGTGGGAACTCCTTTGGATAAAGAGGAGCTAATGGCAAATAGTTTTGAAGTTTGTGACAATATGATGAGCACTTGGCAATGTCTTTGTTCAAGTTTGACTACTACAGAAAACTTATTGCTGCTTCATTATTCTCACTCCGTCCTGCAGAAAGTTGTTGCAATATTTCAGTTCCCAGTGACATAGATGTTTACTCTTTTGCCTCATAGCAAATGTCCAAACTTCACAGACAACTCTGTCTTGTCAAAAATGCCTTCAAATTTGTATTTCATTAGCAGGTTGATCCCCTGAAAATCATGCCCATAAGTGTTAACAATAAGGTATAATTTCTGCTTTTATCCATGGTGTGTGAGTCTGGCATCATGGCTTGGAGTCATAATTTGGATACAAAATATTAAAAGGTTTCTTCACTGTTTTCAACAACAATAACATAGAGTACTTCTGAAGAACAAGATGAAGCCTTCAGAAGTGAACCATCATTTGTCACTGTGGATTTTGATATGTCCCCAACCCCCTATAGCATATGTGTCAAACTCCAGGCCCAGGGGCCAAATGTGGCCCTCCTTAACATCTAATCTGGCCCCCAAGATGTTATTTTAAACATAAAATACTTTTATCACTTTAATTTTTTTCAGTAATCTTTGATTATGATGTCAAAAATGCAACAGAAAACGCCAAATGAGACCAGTAAAAACTCTTGTTGAGGAACCTGCAATCAAGAAAAGATGTTGGGTATCTAACTTGAGTTAATGTAGATTCTGAAATCGGCCCTTAGCGTGAAAAAGGTTTTAATTTGGGCTCCCTTTTGTAAGTGATTTTGACACCCCTGCCCTATGGTATGGGAGATAATGGGACTGTGCATCCACATTCTTCACCTCTACATCCCAGTCACACATCCTATGTAGTCTGTAGCCTGGGAGTACCACAAGGAACCATTCTAGATACTTTTTTCTTTAACCTCTGCTACCTCTACCTCTAGTCTGCTGACTCCATGATCAACACACCAAAACTCACTGCCTTAAAAGAAATCTGATCAGTTTGCCACTGTTGACCTTTTTAAAGAAGAACTTAACAGGAAGTAGTGTCACAAAAAAGTTGTCTTGTCATCTGGACAGTTTCTTTTTTGGAAGAAACGTTTAGTCTTTCAGCCGAAAGACTTAAGCAGTCTGAGGCCTGCCAACCTGATCTGTTGTGTCCTGATGCATGCTCAATAATCCAAGTAGAAAAATCTAACAAGGTTATGTCAGGTCCTCTGGACAAATGTTTCTTTCATCAAAGAAGAATCCATCCAGAGGACCTGACTTAACCTTGTTAGATAAACAGTAAGCACAAAAACAAGTTGGAATTTGTGGAATTGTGCCAGTATAACCAGCTCCTAATCAAAACAGCAGAAGAGTGTTTCACACCTTATGTTTGTGAAACAGCTTCATTTGAATAAATTAAATTCAAAAACAAATTAAGCTGTCATAATTGATGCTACTGCTTTCAGGAATGTGGGGACTTAAGCCAGCAAAAGCATCAAGCAAAGCACTGTACTGTAACTGTGTTAAACCAGTTTGCTGTTTCCTAACCTGTTGCTGTTGCAATGTAACCATTCATCACACAAACAGCCATTGCTGCCACCCTTTTGTTACAGATCACTCCTAAAAACGTTTTTCCATCCACTCCATCCTGCCTGGACTCTCTTTATCACAGTTGGTTAGGTTGGACCCAAAAAATAGGCAGACACGAAGAGCCCCAGTAAAATAACGTTTAAGTATTTTAACATAAAGAAAACAAAAGGCTGGTGTGGCAACAACAACTTACAAAAACTCAGGAGGGTAAACACAAGGAGGCACAAGGTAGGATGAGGGAGAACGAGGAGGACTGAGACATCTAAAAGGTTTTCAAAATAATGAACTGCTGGTAAGGTGGAGACAAAAGAATGTATATATGCACAACTGGATGAGATTGAAAGTGGGAACACCTGGGCTAATTATTGATTGGGGGCAGGTGAGGGTGGCAGGCTGACTGAGGGTGCGTACTGAGGGTAAATGGGAGATGGCACAAGAAATTAAAAAACACAAGAGATCTAAACTGGACAGGAAAACAACAGAATCCAAAGGAAAACAATAAAATCACAAAAAAGCACAGATCCACATTCTTGACCTCTACATCCCAGTCACACATCCTATGTTCCTGGACAGTGGACCTCAAGTACTTGAAGTCCTGCACCTTTGTGACCTTTGCTCCTTGTAGCCTCACTGTTCCACCGGCCTCCCTCCCATTTACACACATACATCTCGCTAGGCTGACATTCATCCATCCATCCATCCATTATCTTTACCCGCTTATTCCATTTTGGCTCACGGGTGTCGCCGGTGCCCATGTCCAGCAATCACTGTGCGAGGGGCGGGGTACACCCTGGACGGGTCGCAGGTCCATCACAGGGCCACATAGAGACAAACGAGACAAACAACCATTCATGCTCTCACTCACACCTAGGGACAATTTAGAGTTACCAATCAGCCTAACATGCATGTTTTTGGTCTGTGGGAGAAAACCGGAGCACCCGGAGAAAACCCACACATGCACGGAGAGAGCATGCAAACTCCACCCAGAAAGGCCCCTCGACCGGGGTTTGAACCAAGGACCTGCTCACTGAGAGGCAGCAGCTCTACCAGTTGGGCCACCGTGCTGCTGGCTGACATTCATTCCTCTTCTTTCAAGTGCATACCGCCACATCTCCATGTTCTCTTCCACCTGTTCGTTGTTCTCATCACAGATCACGTCATCTGCAAACATCATAGTCCACGGGGATTCCTGCCTCACCTCATCTGTTTGCGGATCCATCACCAGAGCAATGAAGAAGGGGCTCAGAGCCAATCATTGATGCAATCCCACCTCCACCTTGATGTTATCTGTCACAGCATAACTTAGCACTGTTCTGCTGTCCTCATATATGTCCTGTACTGATCTCTTGTAGTCCCCTGCAAATCCAGATTTCCTCATACAACACCACAACGTCTCCCTCAGTTGTGTCTATGAAGACACAATGCACTTCTTTCCAACCCTCTCTGTACTTCTCCATCAGCATCCTCAAAGCAAAGATGACATCTGCGGGGCTCTTTTGTGGCATGAGACCATACTGCTGCTCACAGTCGCCTCTTGTCTAAGTCTAGCTTCCGCAACTCTCTCCCAGATCTCCGTGTGGCTCATAAACTTAAATCCCCTAAAGTTGCTACAACTATGTGCATTACCTTTTTTCAAAAAATGTGCACCAGCACTCTTCTCCATTCCTCAGACATCTTGTCATTCTCAAAAAATGCCATTAAATAATCAAGTCAAAAATGTCACTGCCATCTCTTCTAGACATTTCCATACATCTACTGGTTCATCACTAGGTCCTACAATGTTCCGATTCTTCGTCCGTTTATAAGCTTTCCAATTTTCATCCTCACTAATCTTCCACACTTTCTGGTTCCCAGTTTCTATGGCCTCTACTTCATCAAAGTTTATGCTCAGTAATCCAGGTAAAGAAATCCAACAACGTTCAGTCGGGTCATCTGGACAGTTCCTT